ATTTTTTTTTTTTTTTTAATATATTTTTATTGACTTCAGAGAGAGAACAGGAGAGGGCGGGAAGAGAGACAGAAACATCAATAATGAGAGAGTCATTGATCGAGCCCACAACCCGGGCCTGTGCCCTGACCGGGAATCGAACCCTGATCGCCTGGATCCTAGGTTGATGCTCAACCGCTGAGCCACGCCCGGCCGGGCCATATTTTAAATTTTAAAAAGTAACCGGGAGCTGCGTCTGCCCAGAGAGCGAACCCTTTCCGGGTGGCCTCCCTACCCCACTTCAGGGAGTCAGGGGTGACTGATGAAAGTGCCCCTTGTGTAGACAGGAAAACTGAGACTCAGAGGAGAGAAATCTGGCCTCCCAGCTAATAGAGGGATGGAGCCTGCTAGGACTTTGACCCTGAGTCCAGGGGGAGCTCTGATCTCCCACTCAGCCCACCTATCGGGGCCCGGAGGCTGCCTGGATGAGGCCCGACCAGCCTTCCGTGCACCCTTTCTGCCCCCCCCACGGGGACAGGAGTGCCACCGGCAAGCCCTCTCACGCCTTGTTTTGGGCAGGGTGCTGGCCACGACACAGATGCAGTCTGCAGATGCCCGGAAATCCTTCCCCTGTTTTGACGAGCCAGCTATGAAAGCCAGGTTCAACATCACCCTCATTCACCCCAATAACCTCACGGCCCTGTCCAACATGCTGCCCAAAGGTGAGCAGGCCCGTCCTGGGGTCACACAGCCTTGGGGAGCCGGCGGCAGCCCCCGGCTGGGGTGCGGGGCGGGAGAGAGGGGGCGCGTGGCCCACACGCCTGAATGCTCCACGCCCAGGCGAGAGTGTCCCATTTAACGAAGACCCTGCCTGGAATGTCACCGAGTTCCAAACCACACCTGTGATGTCCACCTACCTGCTGGCCTACATCGTGAGCGAATTCACCTACGTGCACACGAACGAGAAGGATGTTTTGGTAAGCAGCTGGGCCCCCCTGTCCTTACCGGGGTGGGCCCCCCTGAGGGACAGCCCTGTGTGTGTCCATCCGTGTCCCAGCCCCTGAGTTGTCCGAGCAGCGTTTGAATCCCAGCTCCGAATCGTCTTCGGGGACTTCCCTAACCCTCAGTCTCTGCATCTGAAAAATGGGTCCTTCCTGGTGAAGGGAGTTCCCAACCCACAGGTGCCAGACAGACAGACAGACCGTGGCTGTGACTATTGCCACCCTCCCCCTAAGGCTCCTCCTTAGGACTCAAAGCCCCTCAGAGACACTCTGCCCCTCCGGCCTTCTCTTCTGCTGACCAGGCTCCTAGTTTAACCAGGTCCAAGCCCTGGGACTCGGCCTTCACCTACACCAGGACCCAAGAGGGGCCCCTGACCTACCTCCATCTTCTTTGCAGATCCGGATCTGGGCTCGGCCCAGTGCAACTGAGGCGGGTCATGGCCAGTATGCCCTGAACGTGACAGGCCTCATCCTAAGCTTCTTTGCCGAACATTACAACACACCCTACCCACTCAAAAAATCTGGTGAGTGAGGGGTTTCTCGGTGGGGGGGATGGGGCAGCGGAGGGGCCTCAGCATCCAGAGGCCATCCTGCCAACCTCCTGGCCTCCCCAGACCAGATCGGCTTGCCTGACTTCAACGCTGGCGCCATGGAGAACTGGGGGCTGGTGACCTACCGGGAGAACTCCCTGCTGTTCGACCCGAAGTCTTCCTCCAGCAGCAACAAGGAGAGGGTGGTCACCGTGATTGCGCATGAGCTCGCCCACCAGGTAGCCCGCCCAGCATGGGGAGTGCAGAGAAAGAAAGGGGGGCTCTGGGAGGCAACCGACAGCACAGGTCCTGGCTCTGCCCTCGGCAGCTAAGGGAGGAGGGTAGCTGAGGGGGGTCATCATGATGTCAGAAGAGTCGTCAGCACCCGGTGGGCGTGGCTCAGCGGTCGAGCATCGACCTAAGATCCAAGAGATCTGGGTTCGATTCCTGGTCAGGGCACAGGCCCCAGTTGTGGGCTCGATCCCTTCGATCCCCAGCAGGGGGCGAGCAGGAGGCAGCCGATCGATGACTCATCATTGATGTTTCTCTCTCTCTCTCTCTCCCCCTCAGTGGTTCGGGAACCTGGTCACTGTGGCCTGGTGGAACGACCTGTGGCTGAACGAGGGTTTCGCCTCCTACGTGGAATACCTGGGTGCCGACCGCGCCGAGCCCAGCTGGAACCTGGTGAGGCCCTGGGGCCTGGGGGTGGGGCTGGGGGAGGCCCTGGGTCACCCCTCCCAGGGCAGTGTAACTGATGGCCGTCGGGGATTTGCAGAAAGACATCATAGTGCAGAACGAGGTTTACCGCGTGATGGCCGTGGACGCCCTGGCCTCCTCCCACCCGCTGTCCACCCCCGCTGAGGAGGTCAACACACCCGCCCAGATCAGCGAGATGTTCGACGCCATCTCCTACAGCAAGGTGCTGCCCCAGCCTCCTTGCTAGGCCCCAGACAGGGCCCCCATGGCAGCCGGGGCCCTGGGAGCACTTGTCCCAGCCCTAAGGGGTCACAGGGTCCCCCTGCTGGCTCAGCACAGCTCTCTGAGCCCCCATTCTCTCCCCCAGGGAGCCTCTGTCCTCAGGATGCTGTCCAGCTTCCTGTCCGAGGACGTGTTCAAGAAGGGCCTGGCGGTGAGTGGGCCTGGCCAGCCTTTGGGGGTGCGGGTGGGGAGGTTTCCCTCCAGCCCCTGCCCCTTGTCTCCAAGCCCAGCCAACCACGGAGCTGGAGTGGCAGAGCCTGGGGGACACCAGCTCTGCCCTCACTGTGGCCTGTCTTTCCACAGTCCTATCTCACAACCTTTGCCTACAACAGCACCACCTACAAGGACCTGTGGGAGCACCTACAGAAGGTGGGTAACAGCCCCCCCGCCCCCGAGCCATCTTGTTGGGGGTCCTGAGATGCTGGACGTCCCTGGGGGTAGTGCCTGCCTAAGGGAATGTAGCCGGCCCCATTGCTCGCCAGCCCAGCCAGGACATTTGGAGCCTGGGCTGGTCATCGGTAAAATGGGCCCTGTGATGGTCCCTTGAAGGAGGTGGTGTGAGGAACCATGAGTCAGGCCCAAGGCAGTGTGGCTCAGTGGTCAGAGCGCCGGCCTGCAGGCTGAAGGGTCCCGGGTTTGAATCCGGCCACGGGCACGTACCTCGGTTGCCCTGTAGTGAGCTCTACGGTGGGAGCCCAAGAAGCCGCTCATCTTAGTGTTGAGGAAACGGGCCCCTTCTGGTTCCCACGCCCAAGCCCCCCTCTGCCGGGAACTTTGGAGCCAGTCGTTCAACCTACTCAGCAGTCTTGGCTGCCCTGTGCCCTCCCGGCCCCTCCCCGGCACGACTTTGCACCCCAGCACCCTCAGCAGGAACCGGGGACCCTCCCACCTGGCCCCACCTTGCATTCCTGTCCGCTCAGGCCCGGAGCGGCCCCTGTGTGTAGGGCAAACCCTCTGAGAGCCCCCAACCCTCCCGCCTCCCCTCCCTGCCTCTCCTGGCCTGGAGTCTGCCCACTTTCCTTCCTTCCCCATCTCTTCCTGCCCCTCCCAGCTGCCCCAGCCCTTCCCTGAGGCCCTCCTCAACCCCAAGGGCCCCTCCAGAACCCCGCGCCCCAGGCTTCCCGGCCAGCTGCTCCCCACTGTCATCCC